TAACGTGTTAAAAGACGAAATAACGATGCAGACAGGTGTCCAATTGATACAGATAAGCTACAAACTGTTATTTCAAGAGTGGTCAAGAACGAAGAGCCTGCGAACGGCACAATCGTATCGCTTTATATGCTGGAAACCGGTCAGTGCTTATGAGAAAAGTTTACGGTGCGCGGGGCGACTTTCGCGATAGATCGGCGTCCATTTTTCGTGGACGCCAAATAATATAATAGCTTTCACTTCGCACGAGCCGGGAAACTAGCCGGCCGTGATAGTTACCGGCCGAGGAATCATTCCGAAACGAGGCTTTAATTAGATTTCGTTTAATTAACCTCCGTGTAATTCTCCACCATCGACGCGGGGATTAAGTCATCTTTCCAGGGTCGTCTTTTTATTTCCATTTTTCTTTTCCCTCCTTTCCTCCCTCCGTTTTTCTTCTATATAGATATATAAAAGTACGCTCAGAAGCTTAGAGAACTTTCTACTTCGTACAATCTTCTTTTTTCTTTTTTTCAACTTTCATAAGTATAATCTTCTGAGAATTATTTATTTTTGGATAAAATCGATGACAATTTTCCGATATTAATCGATATTAATATAGTAAGAATACACTTGTTTGACACTTGCGTTCATGTAATTTAATTTTCAACTAATTATATTATATATCGAATAAGAACACGGTGGTTATAAATTTCCATTGCCGTTGATCCACAAATTCTATTTAATTTTAGAGTAATGATTAGATATATCACGTGTCGATATAATTTTACTCGAGTGTTATTTTATTTGAAAATTTACTTAATTCTTCGCCATTTGCATCTCCAACCCTGGAAGAAAGAATTTATTTCTAATTTATAAATTCAGTATTAAATTAAATACAAATTGCAACTATAAACTTTCTTAATGACAAATTAGAGCTTTCCTTCCTTTTAGAGTTTCACTTGAACCTCTAATTTAACAGACATAATATAATTTACCCCTTGTCTCTTATCTATATCCTTTTACTTGTTTCATCTTATACCCAAGATAATTAGAAATTCGACCCCCTCCCCCTTGATTCAATTAAACAAACAAATAAATGAACGAATTCAAGGAAACTGAAATTTCGTGACTTGAGAGTCAGAAAATTTTAAAATTTCAACATGCTCCAATGTTTCGAGCTCACCCGGCGTGTAATGTCGCGCGACAAAATACACGATGATGCGCGATACAACGAAAGTTGCTTATCGAACCACCGTTCCATCGTGATCGCGTGTTTTATCAGCGCTGGTAGGGACAAGCGATTTTTCTTCGGTAAACAGCGGCCGGGATCGCTGATCAACGGTTGAGCAATTATGTAAATTGGACCAGCGAGAAGAGCGGCATAATGTTATCTTTGTAAATATATCGCGGTGAATTCCTAGATGGAAGCTAGAACGACGTCGGACCGTTCTCTTTGTTCGGGTAACACTAAAACATGAGATCGATGCCACGCCACCGGATGATCCAGACGAACATCGTTACAAACTGCATGAAAACCGTGCGCGCCACTTTAACCAGATGAATTTCACCCTACAATTAAACGGATGCCGATACTTTTTCTCGCTTTAACAGCCCGTTTGATGGATTTCCACTGTCACCCGTTAATATGAAACAATCAATACAAAGAAAGCAATTTACTTCGTAAATATTGGAATAAATTTCTGACTTGGAATTTAATGGACGAAGAAATAAATTAATAGACTGGACATTTTTATGCGTTTCATCTATGATATTTAGGTTCTTATTGCGTCAATAAATAAAGTATAACGAAGAAATTGCATCTAGAATATCAGAATATATAATACTTGTAGTATTTAATTTTGTCATTGCATAATTCACTGTTTAATTTAGTATTCTTGTAATTAGACTGCCGATGTTTGTGGATTCATATTCTTAACGTAATTGCGAACATAACTTTAGAGATATGAAATAGTTATTTAAAAGGAAACTAAACAGAAATTCGTTTAACATTTTTGCATTCTGCAAGTTCTCCATAAATAGATATTGACAGTCTTCTTGCAATATTTACTTTATCACCAGTTTCATTAATTTAATTCTCATTAGTTGAATTAATTGCATAAAAATCCTCGGTGTACAAAAGGATTTCCTTTAAATCGGACGAACAAATTTATTGAATTCACGTGTTTGCCAGTGCAATTTTCGTTCCCGAATAGAGTATTATAGAATATTTTATGTCAACGGAACGCCTGAATTATCGCGGGCGAATTTCTCGGTCGCGAAGTTCGTTTAAAACGAGCCACTGGCATGATTCAAAATCAGCAGGCATAATAGTAGGACCCCTCACGGGCTCGATCTTATTTCCAGATGCCGGCATTATGCGCCGTAGCAGCTGGAAATTAGGAGGTTGACGTAATAACTAACAAGCGACAGTGACGGAGGCTGGCAATCTATTTGGAAAAGAATCCAGATTTCTTAAGGCCATTCAACGGCCCGTAATTCCAATTCTTCAGAGCGTTTTTACGTTCGTCATTCTAACGCGAAACTATACACCTCTGTCCAAGAGTCTCGGGACTTTAAAATTAGAAGAATTCAATTATACAACAAATTATCTGTAAAATAACATGTTGACGATGATATATTAATAACACATTATTATTAAATATGTGTGTATACATATAATAATAATGATGATGATGATTTAATGATTGAAGAAAATTTTAATATAAATAATAATAATTCAAGAGTAATGAAATATATTATTATTTGATATATTTAATTTTCGTTAAGATATTTTTTTGTCGCATGAAGTATTATTAAATTAATTCATTGTACTATTGAACGTGTTAAAATGTCACGTGTCATTGACGAATTTTACAATACTACAATAAATTCTGAATATTAAAAAATTAAAAATAAAATTTTCTTAATTAAAATGAAAACAGATTCCATTCAATTATATCACAAAATAGCGAGAAAATATTAAACATAGAAAAATATTGAATATTAAAAATGTTTTAAGACTTTTAAATGAAAGTAGGTTTCTCGTTTCGAGACATAACGAGTCGTAATTTTTAATCGTCACTATTTTCGACAGATTTGTTACCGTTTTTTTTTTCTTTTCTTTTACACTTTCTTCCACCTCTTTCGTATTTTCTCTTTGGTCCATCTATATAACAAACGATAAAAATTCTCCACTTAATAGTCACTCGAGTGCTCGAAGGTGATGAAGGACAATCGTTCTCGCGAAACGTCTGCTGAATTCGAGAGGATCCTCCGCATGCGTGGAGGACATCGTGCTTTTACTTTGAACAAGAGATCGTGAGAAATTGCACGCGTTTCAGGGCTAAATCTGCGCAATCTTTTGCAATCGAAATTTCCTGCGATATGTTAACAGAATGTTTGCTCGCTTTCCAGAGCACGTTTCTAGCTGTGATTCGTTCGAATTATGATAATAAGAAATGCTTGCATCGTAACTTGCAGACCAGCTGATCGATCTTTGTGTAACGGATGAAAGAAAGCTTAAGAAACAAGCGATAAAAAAATATGTGATATCTTTGAAAAACAGATTTACGTTTCGTAAAATTATACTAATGAGAATAATAAAATAGAGCATTGTTATTAGTGTGATATGAAATATACAATTTAGAAGATTATTGTTATAGTGTTCTCGTTGTAAACTTTCTATTGTCCACTACATGTACGATATATAATTTTATAGTTCTATCATACGAGAATTTCTGGTCTTTCTTATTTTTCAATGGAACTTTAAAATTACCTATACGATATTGATATATACACACGTTATTAGTAATTAATGTCGATAAGGTAACATTTATTTAGAATATTCTTTTATTTAGAATGTCACCACTCCAAAGTATTGAATTTTTAATTAAATTTAGAATTTTAAACACGAACCATATACCATGCATAACATGTAGGAAGAAGAGAAGCTCCAAACTTCTGACCAAGAATCTACAACATTACACGCGCGCGTATATACCAACATCATACAACCAAACATTCAATTTCAAACTACCACTTTCTTTCCTTCACTTGCACAAAAATCTGCATAAATATCCGCAGTCTAACCATTATGTAACATAGCATGGCATTTAAACATCACCCGAAATAACCGCCATTACCATTACCATTATCGTCCTTCCCAATCGAATCATTCCTATTCCTGCATAGACCTACGAGAAGTCTCATCCAATTCTCGCACGAAGATCTCGTCGAGTGCGAGATCTCGATCGGTTTCGTTAGCCGACTGTTGGTTCTCTGGTATATAAAACCACGTCGTCGTGCACCACGCCTGGACACGAGAGAGTTGGATATCGTAGGTGACCAGGTAACCCGGGTGGTGCCTGGTGTTGCACTTGGTGTGGCCTGGCGTGTGGATGCCTACGAGTGTGTAGGCCAAGATGGTGGGGCGGGTGGAGTAGGAGGCTTTGCTCTCTAACGGCCCGTTAGAACATGGACGAAGCCGTGGAATACCCGCAAACAACCTACAACCAGCAACTTGTGTATCGGCGAGGTTGACGAGGGGGAGGGAGGGGGGGCCATCTCCCCTGCCTGCCCCCTAAACCCAAGCTGGCTGGTGGGACTACATCTGGTCTATTGCCGGCCGCTGGTACGACGTGGATTATAGTTTTTCTGGGGGGAGGGTGGTGGAGCGCGTTGCTTTCGAAAGGATGGTGATTGTGGAGCGTAGCCAGAGTAGAGTTAGGCGTATATAAGGCCCGCCGGCCCGGCCCAAGTCAGTCATTCACCGGACTACTAGCCCACCATACACACACCAAACATGAAGGCCTTTGTGAGTATCCGCCACGGGGTTGGTGAATTTTCGTGGGGTGTATCGATCGATTAAACCGAGGTATCCTGCCGCGAGGTTCGTTCGCTGTTGTTGTTCTCGAACCGTAGAATATTTCGGACTCGTGTCTTCCGTTCTCGCGCCATTTTCATCCGGTTTCATGCTCGGCGAACTTCGCTAAAACAGCTCGATCGGTTTTTGCGTTCGGCACGTTGTAGAGTGTTTAGTTAGAAGGCATTCCCTAATTGGAGGATCGCTCGTTTGCACGTAGATTTCCCTCTCGGATCGTTCTCCTCGTTCCGATAGAATCGTCAAGGGTTCGATCGATTAGTCCTCGGACTCTCGCGAGCTCTCGCGCGTCTTTACTCGAGCCTTCACACAACATGACACCGGTCGTAACGGTACGTAAATAAATCTAGTACCAGCCTCGAAAGTAGAAACTCAATGTTCGAGAGCTTCCTCGTCGTTCATACAATCAAACTCCATTGGCGCCTCCACGATGTTCAATGTCACGGCTCGAACCTCTGGCAATTCGTTTCATCCTTTCTGCTCCGCGGTGTCAGAACGCACGAATCGACTTTGCCCTTCTTACGCCGCTCCATTCATGCGAGTCTCCGTTGCACGGTACGCTGACCGCGGAACCGGTTGTAATAGTATCATCGTCATTCAGCCTGCTGAACCCGTGGACCGGTTTTATTCTCGGCGCATCTTCATTCACGAACGTCCTCGTTCGTCCTCTCTCGGCTCGCCGATTTTCCTCTCGACTCGCCCCCGGTCGTTCGACTTGCGACCTGAAAGCGAAATCCATATCAGCTCGATCGTAGACGTCGCTTCGTTTCTCAGATCGCGATCGAGACGACGAAGTTCAGACGCAGAAGCGGGTAGCTCGAAGCAACGATGCGATTTCGCAAATCTCGCGCGGAGCGGCGGCGCGCGGTTTCGAAATAGCGCGCGTCGGGTTCGATTCTCTCGCGAGAACGCGCACGCGGATTGCCGCGGTTCCACGTAAACACGAGATGTGAAAGTCTCACAGCGAAGCAGATAGATATGCACGATGGGAGGGCAACGGCACGCTCCTCTAAGTACAACATTCGAGACAGGTTGGGCGTGACGCGTCGCCCGACTGATTTTCCGTCTTCCGTCACGCGCGCGCGCGAAATACCTTCCTCTTTTCGTCCGCCTAACGCCCGCGTTCACGTTGGATAACTGCGGACAACGATCTGGTTGTTCGAGGAAAGTAGACGAATAGGCTACTTCCGACAGAACGACTATTATACTGTCTGTATTCTGACGAACGATTTTAACTGAGTTAACACGTTCAAGATGAATAATAAGAAATAATAGTTCCAATGTTCAAGTTTTCGTCTCTTTGTTCGATCTTCAAACGTGTTTTTGGAACTTTGGAATGATATATAAATATAAAAAAAAGGGTTGCGAAGAAAAGTCGATTGTGTTAAGGTTGATTGACTCGATTGTCCGACTAAAAGTCGTCAAAATCTAAAATAGCTTGAACGTTTGACTGTCAAAGTTGAATATCAAAGTTGATCGACAATTTGTTTGAAGATTACGTAAGGATATTCCAAGACGTTTAAAATCATTAGTCTAAAGAAACAAACCAGACTCTTAATGCTCGAATGGTTAAACGATCCGGACTAGTTTTCGATCTCATCCCAGTTTTCTTTCGTTTGATTTTCTCCTCGGCTGGAAACCACGGTTCTGTTCGAGAGAACCGGTCGTTTCTAGCAATGGAAGGAAAGCAATCGGTTCGCGTTAACTCGAAATCGTTCCTTCTAGAAACGAGCAGCAGGTCTATATTGGTGCGAATTTCAAAGAACGTTGCTCTAATCACGAATCGAATTGCGTTAGCAGAACGTGCGATTGCATGAGACGCGAACAAGTCTATCTTCTCTTTCACAAAATAGATTTACGAATCCAGTGGAAGAAGAGACTATATCAAAATAGTGAGACATTGAGAATTTTGCGAAAAGTAGCATCGCGATGAGAATATTCATAAATTTTGCCACGTATTCGTCAATTAACGATACTAACAGCAACTAGACGATAACGAGACATTTTCGACGTTTCATGATCTAGCTTCCTCTTGCACTTGACAATATTCCGACCGTTCTATAAAAGCAAAAATTTATTACACAATCTAAAAGAATTTTTTCGAAGTCTTCATCGAAGATTTCAATCGCGACGAAAGGATTAGCTCGATCACGAACGATAGAAAAGGAGGGAAGTTTCGAGGGAAGTTTCGAGGATTATTCGGAATCGCGAAACCGATTACGACACGTTCGTTTCGAGTTATTTCTCACCGACACGCGTCTCGGAATCGTTGCGAAATTTCACGATCGTTGCCTCGGACTTTGATAATAAACGAGGCGACAACCGGTCGCATCGTTGCTTTCACGCTTTAAAGGGGATCGCAGTCGAGGGACAACGTTTTCCCAGGTGCGAGCGATCGTTTCCCGTTGCAGTGAAACGGCGAGTACTCGCGCGCGCGTATGCGAAGCCAATCTGCAACCGTGTACCGAGTATCGAAAGTGAAAGCCGCGGTTATGTTACAACGGGGCTCGTGGTAATCGGTGCCAAGTCAATGGGAATCTAAAGTCGCGGCGATAGAACGAACGAACGCGTTTGCTTCCGTAAAACGACGCTCGAGATAGCCTCGTCCTCGTTCGTTTTCGTTCTTTTTTCCTCGCTGATTTCACTCGCGCGGATATTACCGTGCCGCGCGCGTACCTTTCACGAATTACTTACGATGCACTCTCGAACACGTAACCGTAACGCCGCGCGTTGAAAAGAAAGAAAAGAAAAAAAAAAGGAGAAAAAAAAAGAAAAGAAAGAAAAGTCACGTTGATCGCGCGACCAGCAAGAAAAACTGACCGGAACTGATCCGCTCGCAGGTTGTGTTCGCCTGTCTGGCAGTGGCGACGGCTCGCGCCGGAATCGCACATGGACCTGGCATTGCTCTTGCCGCCGGTGGTCATGGTGGTCTTGGTCTTGGCCTGGCAGCCGGTGGAGGTGCTAGTCTCTCCGGTGGACTTGCAGCGGGTGCGGGTAGCGCGAGATCTTTGCAAGAGGGAGCGTCCAGCTTGGGATCATCCTCTCTCGGTGTCAGCTACGCTGCTGGATCCGCGGCGGCGGCTGGCGCTGCTGGAATTCAACAGATTGTCTCTGGTGGTGGGTAACCTGCTGCCGCATGGCGAAGAGTCTCTCGAGACTCGAGAGACGAAGGAGATTTACCTCGGCAGACGAGGAACGGATTCGTTCACCCAGGGTCATTCACTCTTTTGTTCTGTCGATGCAGGAGTGATCGGAGGCAGGGCTGACATTGGACCCGCCGAAGGACCCAAGGCTAACGTTGGACCACAGAGCGGACCATCTGATCTCGTAGGACCCCAAGAAGGCGCCAAGAACGTCGGTGGACCTCGTACCGGTCCGGCTGGTCTCGTTGGACCTGCCACTGGTCCATTCACCTCCGTGGGTGCCTCCGCTGGTACATCCACCCTCGTTGGACCGTCTCAGGGTACTGCCAACTTGGTAGGACCATCTGTGGGAGGTGTGAACTTCTACGCTGGCAGTGGCAACATCAACGGTGACGACGGTAGCTCTGGCTCTGCTGCCGCTGGTGCGCCAAGTGCTCTCGGTGGTGCTGGACTCGCTCTCGGTGGCGCTGGTCTGTATTCCGGTCAAACAACATTAATAACAACGATAAACACGGAACAATGGAGTTGAAATTGATGAACGTTTAACCGACTCGTTTGGTAATTTGCAGGTGCCATCGCTGTTGTGGGTGGTGGTGCTGGATACGGTGCTGGAATCGGCGGACACGACGGTGGTGTTGCTGTGATCAACGGACCGTCTGGCGCCATCCACGCTGGACTCGGCTCACACGGAGCTATCATCCCCGCGCCACTCGGCAAGTGGAACTAGACGTTCTAAGGCCCCAGCGATCTCGGCTCGGCGACGGCGGCAAACCCACCACAGTCACTTACCGGTCTCAAACGATCCTCAAACGCGCTCAACGTCTTCTTCCCAAAGCTTCGTCCAATCTAGGAACATGGTCATAGCGCCGGCGTTAGTGGTGTAGTCGGTATATAGTCAGAATATATTCTAATCACACAAGTCCAGTCGGTATATATCGAGACACGGTGCGAAAAGCGCGAGTCGAAAGCCCAGCACGCCGGGACGATCACGGGTTCAGATCTCGACCAAAAAAAAAAAAAAAAAAAAAAAAAAAGGAAACACAAAAAACAGAAAAAAGTGAAACACACACCGTGGACCAGGCCGTTCGTGATCTGCGATTCTCGTCTTGTCTCGTTACCCCTTCTCGCCGATCACGCGACTCGTCCCCATCGTCAAGACGAGGCATGGGTAAAATTTAGTCAATTTCGTTCGTTTCATCAACACACCGCGTACACGCGACGGAGGAAGCCGAACGAGAAACTGTGATTGCCAGCCACGGTTACGCCGCGATCATCGCCACTATCATCGGGTCGCGTTCCACACGACGAGCCTGTATCGTACGATCGGCAATGCATCGGAGCCGCGTCCAAGCTTTCCAGTTGACGAACCATCTGAACCACCCGCGCCAGAAGCCAGAGTCAACGCAAACACGTTGAACCCGGCTGCTCCGCCATGGACCCAGCAAGTGGATAAGCTTTGGCGCTTCGTCGTTGGACCAACTGGGTCTGTTCTGTTTTCTGAACACCTACCGTTGCTCCAGCAGTACTCTCTTTGTATTTCTTTTTTTTTTCTCTCTTCCACCATCTGTAAGGCCGCCGCTCTTCACACATATATTTACCACACTCTGTCTTTTTTTTTTATTTTTCTCTCTTCCTTTTTCTCTCTCTCTCTCT